TCGGGCGCCCGAGTTGGGCTTTTAAACGTTTAGCCCATTTTTTTCGATCGAAAAGACGGAATTTTTACCTCGTTGTGTCCGCTATCCAGATCTTCATCCGATGAACTCATTTATGTTCGTATATCACACCAATAAGTATGATTTGTGATGAAATCGTCTTGAGAGCGAATTTTTTTAGAGAGAGAAAGAGAGAGAGACTTTGAACGGTAAATAGCACTTTTCAAACGGTAAAAAGCAAATCCCTTAATTAATTTCTTATTTGGTGTCTCAATTTTTATTTTTTTTTACTTATTTGGTGTACTATTTTAATAATAATAATAAAAAAAAATATTCATGTGCAATAAAATTTAAGGTAAATTACACTCCTCGGGTATGGTCAATTTACGAAAAAAACTCATCTTGTTTGGATAATTACATCTACCCCTCAACTATGATTTTTTTCTTACACCTCCACCCTTGTGGTGTCAAATTCAACATAATCATCTAGATTTCGTGAAATTTGCTCTAGTTTATACTCGTTTTGTGTAAAAATACAGTTTATGATGCACCACAATCATATATATACAAGTCAAAAACCACATATTATGACCATCTTGATTCAAAATTTGGCGAATGAGATAAAGCGGGTACAAAAGTGATAATATTCCATATATTCTCGAAGATTCCACTAAATTTGAAACAACAAGGGTGGGTTGGTTGTAATTATCCAAAGGGGATTTCGTAATTTAACCATAGCTCAGAGGTGGTTGTAATTTACCCTAAAATTTAAGATATAACTATTATTACTATATTATATATTATAATTACTAACGTATATTTTGTATACCATGTAAAATTTATATTAGAAAAATTGACAGTAAATGTCAATCTGAAATGATAAATGTCAGAAGATTGTTTAACAAATGTGGGATATTTCTTTTCAATTTACGAAATTTGGCATTTAACCTAAAATGTCTAATTTGTAAACATTTTGGATTTTTAGGTTAGATCAGAATATATCAAACATAAAAATAATTTTAATTCAAATATTAATTGTCTTAGTTTATTTATTTTTTATCACTTTTAATTTTCTTTTTAAAATTTTCTTCATCACTAGCTAAAAAAATCTTATTTTTCAAACGGAAGATGCATGTTTATTTTTCAAATTTGTTTTAAAATATGCAATAAAGATCAGTAAACTAAATAAATAGTAAATTAATGCATCATCAATTTAATATATATATATATATATATATATATATATATATATATATATATATATATATATATATATATATATATATATATATATATATATATATATATATATATATATATATATGTCGTAGTCATCTTCTTCTGCTTCTTCTTCATTGGCATATCCCCTTCTTCTCTCAGCCTGTAAGTAACCACTTCACATTCACGAAAATAATCACATCTTGTATCGATAACGAACATCTCAAGTGATGTTGCAATCTTAGACAATTGCACTAGTAAAATTTCTTCACTCGCGCAGCCACAATATCCAGCCATTTCAACCACCTTCAGATTTTCGTGGTTAAACCTACTTGCCTCTACTGAACTTACTTCAGGAAACGACAACATTTTTCTTATCTGTCGAAACGAAGAACAAAAATACTCATTAAAAGGGAAATACGAACAAAAGAAGAATCGAATTTTGATAAAGAAAAGAAAGAACTGAATTGTGTACCTGAACATCTGTACGGTTCGTGACTGTAACTAAGTATTCTATCTGTGAAAAATATGAAACATAGCTCAATAAGTAAGAGTGTGACTCTTTAAAAAAAACGACTCAATAGAGATACCTTAATTTAAACCGAAATGCAAGCTCGTGTACTAATTAAATAACGTTCACCTTAATTTTAAACTCTTGTAAGTGAGGAGATGCCTTAATCAACGATGTGAAAAAGAGAAGGCTTTCTCCAACTTGTGACTCGATGGTCAATTCAAGCCGCTCGAGATTGTGCAACTGAGCCGAATCAGGAGGAACAATTGTCCTATCAAGAAAATAAAAATCCTGGAGCATATATGAAAAAATATGTCACTGATTTGTTGTAATTGCTAAAATTAAAATGAACGATTATAATAATAATAATAATGCACCTACATTGTTGGCTTGAAGTTTCAATACAAGGTCCACCAGTTGATCCGAATAGCTCGAGTGTTTGTTAGGTTCGTAGATGAAGGAGTCACAAAAGTGCCCACCGAGGGCAAGCTCGGACAGGTTTGGAGTGTTCTTGAACGGCAAACGGATTTTCATTCCTTGGTATTTAAAGTAGACAAGATTCAAAGCAGATATCTCCATACTTTGTAGGTTGTTACAATGCGATATTTCCAATTCTTCCAAGTATCCGAATGAATCAACAATTTGGAGATTTTTCGTAGTTTTAGAGGCTGTGATGCTCAGCTTCTCAATATAAGGACACGACTCTAGAAAATACCGAACCAACTCATCCTCGATATCAACATCAACCAATATAAGGCTTCTTAGAGAGCGAAAGGGAGCCTCTATACCTTCGTGCAAAAGTGAAGACAACTTCTCAATCTTGGGAAACTTATATCCGCAGTGTGACCAATTTAAATTTGACAGATCCAATTGGAAATCTTCGACTTCCTTGTTCATGGCGAAAACTATCCAATTATCAACGTCTCTTGATCGAGCTCCTAACTTATTGTAACCAATAATTAAAGTATCGAGAAACGGACCCCGGTACGAATTGAGGACATAATTAACCAAATTCTTGAACTTTTTCCTCTTCATTTTAGTTCCGGTTTCATTATCAATGTAATCAAATACCAATGTGTCAGATGTAAATATATCCATATATCTCCATAGATATCTCCATCTAGAAGATAAGACACTAGTCCTCATAGCTTCATCAATTCTCATGCAAGACAAAATTGAAATAAGAATATCATCAGGCAATTTCTCAATCATACAATTGTTTCTAGAATCCTCTCTATCATCATCATCCAAAGGATCAACGGCCTGTAGTGAAATTAAATTTAAAAAAAAATAAAATAGTAGCCCTATCAATCACAATGTAAAATTGAAAATAAAATAAATTATAATCGACAATTGGAAATAATGGAAGGGCGATTACGAACCTTGTGCTTCTGCTTCTGCTTTCGTTTTCGTTTTCTTGTGTGCCGTGAAGCTGAATTCTGCTTGAGCTGCAGAGAGGAAGTTCCGTCCATACTATCACAATTCACAATACTCAAAAAAAAATTAATGAGGAAAAATATTATAATTTTACGAGCCTTTTAACTATATATATAATACAAAAATTCTTAATTATTTATAGGGTAATTACGGCCAACTCACCCTGAGGTAAGATCGAATTACAAAAAAAACCCTTATGTTTGGGTAATTACAACCACCACTTAACTATGAATTCTTCTTACGCGTCCATATCTGCAGTGTCAAATTTAGTGGAATCTTTTTGATTATATAGAATATACTCAAGTTTGTACATGTTTTTCTCATTCGAGCTCCACATTTTGAAACAAGATGATCATAAGATTTATCTATTAGCTTGTAAATATCAGACTATGGTGCATCATAAACTGTTTTTTGTACAAAACGAGTACAAAATAGAGAACATTCCACAGATTCTGAAAAATTATGTTAAATTTGACACTATAAGAGTGGACGTGTAAGAAGATTTATAATTGAGAGGTTGTTGTAATTACCCAAATATAATGGTTTTTTCATAATTTGACGTTAGCTCAGAGGCTGGTCGTAATTCACCAATTATTTATATAATGGTGGTCGAAATTTTTGATATTGTATATGTATTGCAAGGCCTATCAATATTCATATATTGGACTGGGCTTGAAATTGGAACTAAATTACCGAATTCCTCTATTTCAATTCAATTTTTCTTATTAAATTGGAAATTCGAAGGCAAATATTTTATAGATTGTTTCCAAAAAAAAAAAACTATTTAACTACAAAACATATTTAAATATGAATTAAAATATCAAGTGAGTGCATGTTTGCTTGGACTCCTGAAATCATTGAGTAGCAACAGTTGCTTCACAACATATCTCATAGATGGTCTTCTGATAGCCTCCTTTTCAGTGCAACTCAAAGCTATTAACAACACTTCTCTCACTTGCTCCTTCACTCTTGAATCTACAAATTCATCCACCAATTCCAAATCCACGATTTTTTCGATTTTATCTTCGTTTTTGTTCCACGTAGACTTCGCCCACCCAACAATATCAACTTCTCCGCCAAAAGACGGGTCCAAAGCTTTCTTTCTCGTGATCAGTTCCAACAAAACTACCCCGTAAGCATATACATCACACGCCTTACTACTTCTCGTGGAGAATGCATTTTCTGCCAATAATTGCATTATTCGTGAGTTTATATACTCATATAAGAGAAGAGGTAAATAAGCAAATAAACGTGAAAGAGGCAGCATAGTGTCATCGGGGGCACCCCCACTGTTTCTTGTTAATTTTCATATAATAAAGTATTGTACACCCGCATATAAAAAATCGCATTTTTTTGTGCAAGAAAACAAAATTCTGGCTACTAGGGGTGCAAATCGGATGGATCAGATCGAAAATAAGTGAATTTTATTCCAATGCCGTTCCAAAAAAATCGGAAATTGGAAATTTTCGGACCGGAATCGGCCGAATTCGGAAATTTCCAATTTTTAGTAAACTAAAATGTAAGATACATAATAATTTTGATACTATGAATCTATTTTTCGGGACAACAAAAAAATTCAAATTTTCGGAATTATTTTTGGAAATTAAAATTGGATCCGAAAAATCAGAAATCAGAATTTCAGACATCGGAATGAAAAGTATTGTTCCAAAATCGGAAATTTCTGCTAAGAGAAGCAAAAGAATTGAGGAATATTTTAAAGAATATACCTGGAGCCATGTACCCGATAGTGCCCTGAATTTTACTCGATGTCATTGAAGCAACCGATTCCTCCAAGAGCTTCGCAATGCCAAAATCCGAGATGTGAGGCTCCAAATCTGAGTCCAGCAAAATATTCATCGGCTTGATATCACGGTGCACGATAGCAGGATCGCAGTCGAAATGGAGATACGATAGCCCCTGAGCAGTTCCAAGCGCTATCTTACACCGAACTTCCCACTCCAACGGTTGTGAAGAATCTGCCCCGTGTAGAACATCATAAAGGCTTCCGTTTTTCATGTAACCGTACAAAATCAAACCGAAGTCCTTTCTCAGCCAAAAGTCCTCCATTCTTACAAGATTACGATGTCTGACTTTTCCGATCGTCTGTATTTCTCTTACCATACTCTTGTTTCCTCCTTTAGATCCAACATAACCAATCTTCTTCAAAGCATATACTTTGGTGGGACCCAACGTAACCTTGTATACAACTCCGTGCGCTCCTCTGCCAATAATATACTTATCGTTCAGATTCTCGGTAGCTTCCGTAACTTGATTGAGGAGAGAAGAAGCACCTTCTTCGGAAGATACTAGAAGGTTCCGTTCATGCCCTTTGTGCCTTAACAACACATAAGAAACCCCAAGAAGAAGAATCAACGCGAAAAGGAATGTTCCGGAAACTATCATTGCAATATCGACTTGCCTCAGACCTCGTTTTCTTGGTGGCGTATTGCACGATTTGAAGGTGTTGTTGTTGTTATAGCCCTGACAGCTCACTCCACTTTCTACTCGACAATCGATGCATATGTCTGAATTTCCAATAAATGACGAGGGAGACGAAATTACGAATTTAACCAGTGGACTTGGAATTGGGCCGGCGAAAGAATTGTACGAAACATTGACTTCGGTTAAAGAATGGAGTTGACCAATGACTTCCAAATTCCCGGAGAGATTATTGCAGCAGATATCTAATTGCTCCAGCATTTTCAACTTTCCTAATTCTTTCGGAACAGAACCCGTTAATCTGTTACTGCTAAAATTCAACGATCTTAGGCTCTGAGTTTCAAATTCGAGTCCTATCGAAGGAGGAATATTCCCTTCCAACTGATTTTCACCGAGGTGCAGAAACGAAAGCTTCCCCATTTGAAATAACGAAGTAGGAATGGACCCACCGATACGATTTTTACTAAGATCCAAACTTGACAATTCGACCAAGTTTCTTAAATTGGAAGGAATTGTTCCATTTAATACATTGTAACTCGCATCAAATCTCGACAATTTTCGACAGCTCGATAACTCTAATGGCAGCACGCCTTCTAGACTATTGTGAGACAGATTTAAATGCTCGAGATCCAAAAGATTTCCTATCTCAGTAGGTATATTACCAGTCAGATTATTGAGAGATAAGTCTATAGAGGTAACCTTAGCAAGATTCCTTAAACTCGAGGGAATCGATCCACTCAAGCTATTGTTGCTAAGGTCCACGAAAAGAAGGTTCGATTTTTCGACAAAATCTGGAAGTTCGCCTGTGAGATTATTCTGTTTGAGAATCAATCTAGTCAAACTAAAGCAACTTCCGATATCGGAAGGAATGATTCCTCGGAAATGATTTTGACCCAAGAGAAGCTTTCTCAATTTCTTCTTGAAGCAAAGATTCGGTGGAATCGGACCAGTGAACTTATTTCTGGTGAAGTCCACCAACATTAGGCTACTATTTAAGCCCAAGCCTTGAGGTATATTTCCAGTAAATCGATTATCGAACAACGAAATATTCCTCAACTGCTTAAGCTCGGTGATTTCTTTAGGTATTTCACCACCAAGATTATTCCCGTAAACCAAAAAATGTTGAAGGGTTTGGATCGAAAATATGCTCTTCGGAATTTCGCCGCTCAAATTGTTGGTGAAAAGCATGAGCGTCTGCAAATGATCGAGCATACCTAATTCACTTGGAATCACACCCTCCAAATGGTTTCCGTAAACCTGCAAATCGGTTAAAGCTTTGCAATTACCGAGCTCACGTGGGATTGGTCCAGACAAGTGATTATCAGACAGGTAAAGAAGTGTCAGCTCGGTGAGTTGTCCTAACGAAGAAGGAATACGCCCACTTAAGCCACAATTAACAGCAGAAAGATTCGTTAACTTACTGCAGTTTCCCAAACCACGCGGAACACCTCCGACGAACCGGTTGTTCGATAAAACAAGAAGTTGCAACTCCTTATAGTTACCAAAATCCAACGGAATTCGACCCTCCAAATTGTTATTCTCTATGTACAAACTCGTAAGACGCACGAGATTGTTTAAGCTATAAGGCAATTCACCTTCGAGTAAGTTATCGTTGAGGTAGAGCTCTTGCAATTCACTGCAATTTCCTACGGAAGAAGGGATAGTTCCAGATAACTGATTGTTGTTCAAATAGAGAAACGTAAGCTCACTCAAATTTCCGATAGGTAAAGGAATCGAGCCACTAAGCATGTTGTTAAAGAGGTAAATTTCCCTCAAGTGAGGAATTCGAAATAAGGAATCGGGGATTTCGCCACTAAGAGAATTCGACCACAGGCTTAAACTCAGCAACCTCGATAAAAACCCGAGACTCTCCGGAATCACCCCCGAAAAGTTGTTTTCGGAAAGCTCTAAAGACTCGAGGAGACTACAGTTTCCTAACCCTAACGGAATCGAACCCGAAAAAGTGTTCTGGCTTAAATTGATCGATTTCAAGTGTTTTAGATAGGCGATTTCTGGTCCTAATTGACCGGATATACCGAGGTTGAACAAGTTCAAACGATCGACTAAGCTGTGGTGGTTACAATGCACACCAAGCCATGAACATGGTGTGGAATGGGAAGAGTTCCAGCTAGATTTGATGGATGAAGGTACTACTTTCCAATGCCTAACTAGTGATAACAGAGTTGTACCTTCTATGTTCAAAGCGAACACCCCCAATTTTGAAGTGTAGAGCAAGATTATCATCAGCAGCAGAAACCAACTCAAATCAATTTTCATGTTTACAATTCACAAAGCAGAGATATATCAAGAAAATGCTGAATTTTGAAAGAAAACGCAGGGGGGGAAAAGGGCATACCGAATTCGATGGAAAATTCACAAAGGCAAAAGGGTTTTGAATTGAGAATCTGAAAATCGATTAGTTGATGAGAGTGTGAAAGCTGACACGGATGTTGAAAAACAATTGCGGCTTTAGTGAAGTGAGTGGATTAATACCTGTTGTTTGGTAGTTGCTTTGTCTGAGTTTCAACGCGTTTTCACTTTCTTTCAACATGTTTTCAACTCTCTACTAAAATATTCAGTTATACACCCATGCGTTTGTGTCTCCTTAAAAACGTGCACTCTTCCCAGATAAGGATAAATCTTGTTTTGTGGTGATTTTTTGAATTTTTTTTTTTGGGTAAATTATGGTCTAACCCCTGAGGTAAGGTTATTACGAAAAAAACCCATCTTTTTTAGGTAGTTACATCCACACTCCTCAATTATGAATCTTCTTGCACGTCCATCCTTATGATCTCAAATTCAATAGAATCTTCTAGATTCCGTAATTTCTGATGCACCACCGTTTGATTTTTACAAGCCGAAAGACACATCTTATAATCATCTTGTTTTAAAATATAGAGCTCGAATGGAGTAAAATGAGTACAAACTATAGAATATTCCACATAATCTAGAAGACACCGCGTGGACGTGTAAGAAGATCCATAGTTAAGGAGGTGATTGTAATTACCCAAACATGAGGGGATCTTTTGTAATTTGACAAAATATAATGAATTCATTAGAGGAAGAATCATTGCTTTCACACTTCACAGAGAGAGATCTTTCTCATCAATGGCAACTTGCAGATTGCACTACAACACTAAATGCAGTGGGGACCCAATTTATAAGAACCAAATTAAATTGCAATCTTTTCACAATTTTATTGAAAACGAAAGCAATAATACTTATAATCTGCACCGACAACAACACAGTTTATTTTAAATGTAATGAAAATAAATAAATTGAAGCTCAAAATATTGCTAACATAACATAGTATAGTAGCAAACTCAATAAATCCAAAAAACAATTCAAGAGTGCATTTTCAACACAACAACAACAAAAACAAAATACACCCCATAAGCAATAATACAACACTACTCCCTAACCTAGTAATATAAACCACCACACATCATATGTGAAAGTGGAAGCATCAAACATGTTTCCACACACACAACTATATAGTAGTAACAATAAACCATTTTTCCTCTAATACAACACGAACACGAACGACTTAGTGAAATCTCAGCTGCCAACGTCTTTTATTTTGAAATAACAGCGATAATTGAATATAAAAATCGAGCTTTTTTAAAGATCAAGAAACACAAACTCTTCGATTGCAGCAACTTCACCGATCTTCTTGAGAGTCTCCTTGTCGGGTTCTTCGTCAACCCCAATTGCCATAACAGCCTTTGTCCTCTTCAAAGTCCTCCCCACACTCATAAAGCTAACATTCACGTTACTCTCTCCAAGAATACTTCCGACTTGACCAATCATTCCAGGCTGGTCAACTTGTCGGCACAGTATCAGATTTCCCTCCAAACTCACATCAACGCTAAAGGGCCCCACGCGTGTTAAATGGGGTACCCCGTACTTCACTTTCCCCTCAACACTTATGTTCCCATTGTCCGATAACGCGCTAGCGAATTTCGAACCAACGTTACTTATCTGTACCTGAATTGACTCGATAGGGTTTTCTGGGGAAGAGTCAACAAAGACTCTCTCCTCACTTAATCGAAGGCCTTTCTGCTTGGCTATGAAGTCTGCATTTACAAGGTTAATGTGAGCGTCTGAAATCGGCTCGATTATGCCTTTTGTTATCATGGCTCGGAGAAGTCTGGTGTCTAGGTTGTCCGGGTCCCGGGCTGAGCTGTACGCCACCTTCACTGATTGGATTCCACTCCCTCCGGCAACTAACTGTACAGCTAGTCTACCGAGTTTTTCAGCCAGAGCTACGTAAGGAGCTAGTTCAGACAAGACCTGATAAAAAAAATAATTTGAAAATAGCGACATTTTTAGTGAGACGTCATTTTAAAGAGAATATGAAAAGAAATGCAGTAAGCAAGGATGGATTTTACCTCGGGAGGAACCATTGGAGCGTTTACTGCAGTTGCAGAAAGCTCTCCTCTGAGTGCACCGACAACGGCCTCTGCTATTTCAACTGCAACTCCTTCCTGAAATGATGGTAATAAATAGCATATATTAGCGGGACAAAAGTTTCAATACATGAATGATGGAGAATCGAATTGGTCAACTCATACCTGTGCTTCCTTTGTGCTAGCTCCAAGATGTGGAGTAACTGTGACATTCTCATGTTGCACTAACTTGCTATCTTGAGGTGGGGGTTCCACTGTGAACACATCAAGCGCTGCCTATAAATATCAAGATGAACAAGGATTTCAGTTTCAAAAATGAAAAAAAAAAAAAGATTGCGGCATTGAAGACGAAAAAATCATTAGAGTTGATAGGTCTAAACTTGAGGAAACTAAATGGTCTCAAATGAAGCCAACAAACTAAGGTAATAAAAAAAAAAAGGGGCCGTTTACAGCAAAGTATATTTCAAGAATAACTTCAAAACATATAAAAAAAAACTAGATAATGCAAAAGAAGGTGAACCTGGGCAACTATTCCGTTATCAAGGGCCCTCACTAAAGCATCTTCATCTATGACACCACCACGGGCAACGTTTATGATGCGCACTCCCTTCTTCATCTTTGCGAAAGTGTCGTCGTTAAGTATCTTGTTAGTTGCAGGGGTAAGAGGCATGTGGAGAGAAATGAAGTCTGCAGTGGAGATGGCTTGATCGAAAGAAACCAACTCAGCACCAAGAGCACGTGCTCTATCAGCTGGTGCATATGGGTCGTGGGCAATGACATGCATTCCAAGTCCTTTCGCACGTCTCGCGACTTCGGATCCAACTTTACCGAATCCCATTACAGCCAATGTCTTCCCAACCAGAGAAACACCAACGTATTTATTACGTTGCCATTTTCCTGTCAAAAAAAAGCATCAGATACAATAAATTCAACGGAAACCAAGTTACAAAGGTTACGAATATGCGATTCTTGAACAATTAAGCAAGTCAACTGAAGTAACATAGAAATGTTAGACTATACAGCATTCAGGTACTATAAGTACTCTGCATTAATTTTCTATAATATATACTAAATACTCTCAAAAATTCAGGGCAAACGTACATCAAGAAAAGTATATTTTTCTAGACAGCTCGACAGTTCACACTAGTTATACACATTGTACTGTCTTCTCCTTGATTTTTCTCATATCAAGTGTTTTTTTCAATTTCTCCGAAGGCATGCTGCTCTATAACATCTGGCAAATTTATGAGTCTTTGCTATTGATAAGAAACAAATATCTCATCCGTTACCACATGCTATATACACTTCACATTGCCTGTAATACAAGTACGGTTATACGCACCAGTATACCACTACACTAACTACCAATAAACATTAAAAACACAAATACCAGTTTCAAAACAAGATAAAGCCAACAATGCAAACCAACAATGATATTTGCTTTAACAAGATTAGAAGATCAAACACCTTTCCTAAAGGGTGGAGTATTGGGATCTTATTCAGAGAAGCTTTATGTTATACTACATATCTTCTATAACCTAAGTTAAGATGTACATACCACCACACTAGCCAGGAATAATCATTAGAAAAGCAGATCTCAGTTTCAAAACAAGGAAAATCCCAACACTGCAAACAAATCTTATAATTGCTCTACCAATACAGAAGATCAAAGACCTACCCTAGAATATTCAATATCCGTGATCCGATTCAAGAAAGCTCTACGGGAAGAACAACTTAGCATTTGGTTCTGCCTTGGCATTCAGATCTATACGATGTATCGTTTCACTGGGATCGTAGCTTTCTCCGTGGAGAACACTAATTGAATCCAATCAATCATAAGAATCAACGATATCTGATAACATTAAGAATCATCTAAATCAACGCCTAATATAGAGGAAGTGCAGCCACGAAAAGTCAGTTCTCAGGTGATTTCGCTTCTCCTTTTTTAAGTTGCTCAACTAAACTCTGGATCTAGGGCTCAAACAAGATAGTTATATAATTACAACATAGACAGAGGAATAAGGTTATACCAGCTTTCATGGAAGCATCAGCCTGCGCAACATTCCTCGCCATACCAGCGAGCAAAGCAATTCCATGCTCCGCCGCCGCAATGGTGTTCGCCGTCGGCGCATTCACCACCAAGCACCCGAACTCCGTCGCCGCCTGCAGATCCACGTTGTCAATCCCAACTCCGGCGCGACCGACCACCTTCAGCTTCCCCTTGGCAGCTTCAAACACCTGGCGGGTCACCTTCGTCCCACTCCGCACAATCAGCGCGTCGCACTCCGAGATCTTCGCGCACAAATCCTCCTGAGACAAGCTGTACAAACACTCAACGTTGCCGAAGCTCCGCAGCAGATCGAGCCCGGCTTCTCCGAGTTTCTCGGAGACCAGGATAGTAGGCTTCGTCGATTTGCCAACCGGCTCCGGATCCCGGGTCCTGGAAACAGATTCGGATGCCTCCGCCGTCTTTAGAACATTGATGGCCGTAGAGCTGCGGGAATTCGGATTCGTGAAATTGGTGGAGAAGGAGAGCTTCTGTAGAGAAATGGAGGAATTGGAGAAGGAGAGACAGGTGGGGGAAGAATGTGAGTTTTTCTCCTGAGGCTGAAACGACGGCGTTTGGTTCGTGAGCTTGTTCGCGGCGGATGAAATGGAGGTGGCAGCCATGTTTCTCTCTCTAGCGTGTTTTTCACTCTGTGTGTGAAGTGTGTGTTGTGTGTGTGTGTGTTTTTGTGCGTGAAAAAATGTTAGAGAGAGAGAGGAGACTTTTTGGAGAGGAAAGTAAGAATACGAGTGGACACAGAGATTTTTATGGAATGTCCTTACGTATAAATATGGTAAATATGCCAATTTGGCTGACGTCTTCTATTTAGTTTTTATCTTATTTTATAATTATTATAAGTAATAATTTGTTTCTTTAATTTCAATAAAAAAAAAATTGGCTATACAAATAGATTATGATTTTTTTATTGTTCATAATCTATTTTGAAGTGTTTGTAAAATAAACTTTTATTTTTGTTTTGTTTTGTTTCTTTTAAAATAAATAATTTTAAGATATAATTTATTAAGCCAATTAAGTTGATTTTCTAGTAAATTTGTAAACATTAATATTTTTTTTTAAATAAGCACTTAACTCATAATCTATAACTTCTGCTTTTAAATAAGCTTTTACTAATACAACCTAAAGCTAATTAAAAAAACTATAATTAATTATTTAAATGTTTAAAAACTAGCATTTGTGTGCATGATGTAGAGTTAGAGTGTGTTGACCCGACGACTTGGGATACTTTGTTCTAATAAATGTTAATAAGTGACACTTTAGGGCCTTAATCGTGGTAGGTGACTATAGTATTTTGACATAATTAAGGAATTGAAATGGGATCTGAAAATTTGGTGCGTGGGGGTGGGTAGGTTAAGTATTTCTTTAAATTTTTTTTTTGTTCTTAATTGTAATTGTTTTTTATGTGTTAGGATTATTTTATTTAAAGTTTTTTCTAATTCCAAGATTTGTTGAAGGAGGTGGGTAGGCAGTTATGTATATAGTAAGCTCCAATAATTTGTAAAAGGGTTGGTGGGGAAGCATTATTCCAAATAATTACTTATCTCATAGTATTATATATATATATATATATATATATAATTGAATTATAAGAGTATTTATATATGAAAGCTATGATTTGAAATGATTATTTATGGTTAAAGGCCTTGCAACCGATGCTAGTTAGTTCATTTTGGGC